GATTGATATGATTCTTCTCCCACAATTGAACGAGTAAATTGAACTGATCTGTTTAATCCAGCTCTACGTTCTTCAATAATAATCTAATAAAATATATATTAAATAATGAATGAATATATTTAAAAAAAATATTTAAATATAATATAAAAATTTAATATGAAATAGAAGAATTTCTTACATCCGATGTCCATAAAGCGGCACCTACAACATTTGTCCAAAAGAAAATAAAATTTGCTATAGGTATTAATTCCAGTGCCACAGCCACAATTCCAAATAAAATATAATCTTTTCGATTTTTCCAAGCCAATTTTCGTCTAAATGATAATGTAAAAAATGACCCCAAGTCATGATCCACGCATTTAAATAACAGTACGTAAATGTTCCGATTAAAGGGAATGCATGTAATGGTAAAGTAATGATAAGTGTAATTATCTTTTATGTATAATAATAATAAAAAATATATAATAAATTATTATTATTTTTAGTTATTTTTAACAATTCTCGTTTTTCATACACGCAACTCATATATATTTGGTTTAAATTTTTTTTTCTTTTATAATTATTTTATATATTTATATATATATACCTGAAATAATATCAAAACGTAAACCTGAAGGATTACAAGTAAAATTCCTGAACTAATTCCACGAAAACAAATTCTCGTTTCGGAAACTCGAGTTCGAGATTGATTCAAAATTGGTTCCAATCCTCTTAATTTTAAAACATCATCAAATAATAAATCTTGCCAGAATGGTGTGATTATAAGATAAAATATAATGGTCATAAGAATTATTTCCAATATACAAAATATTGATGCAACAATCCATGATAACCAAATTGGACAATTGGCATTTATTAAAGCATGAGCTTGTAATGTGAGTAAAAATCCAAAAGTCAAACCAGTTATAATAAGTGTGACTATCATTGTTAATAACAATACACCTATTATTCTTCGAATTAAAATCCAATTTGACAAAAAGTATATATTATTCCTCTTATCGGGTAAGTAGAAGGTGGTTGAACCATTTTTTACTTTTTTCTCTCGTTTTCGCTTTCTCTTTTTTTTTATATACTAAAAATTCAGCGAAATTTAGAAAAGTAGCAACATTACGTAATTAATGTAACTTTTTAAAAAGTAATCTATATATATTTCAAACAACGGAATTACTTTTTTATTATTTGCATTTAAAATCATCTGACATATCTATCTTTCATCCTTTTTTGGCGGGAACGTCATTATTAGTAAATAATAAATAAATAATGATGCAATGTTAACGTAAAAAAAAAAAAATCTCTCTCGTCTAATAAAAAAAAATATATATTTGAAATCCAAATGAAATTTCTTGCCCATCAACATAAATGTTTTTTTAAAAAATTCAAAAAAAAAGAATTTATTTATTTGAATTATTTAATCTTTGCCAGATTGAAAAATTATGAATTTCACTATTGGTAAAAATGGTGATGGTGACGATGATTTGGTTCATAAATTATTAAACAAAGATATCAAAAAAAAGTTATGTAATTCATTAGTAAAAAGTTGTGAAAGGATTTTAAAAGAGGTGCCAACTGAGGATCACAATTATGAACATT